TATATACATTTACATCATTTGAGTTTAATATTTGTAGAGAATTACGTCCTTAACACAATCATTACTGTAATATGAATCATAATTCTCGTAGACTCAACTGTCTGTACACTATGAAATATCAAAATTCACTGAGTACTAATGGTGGACAAGGTTATGTAGAAATAATTAGGTGAGTCTTAAAAATTAATTTTTTCACAGAGAAAGTGATTAAATGTTCATAATTTTCAAGTAAATGTTGCTCCTAATCATGCTTATAAAAGTGAATATAACACAGAGTTATAAAACAACACAGAACTTTTCTACACTGAACAGTGTTGACATTGTTGATGTCCTCAAGGTCGAACTTAGTGGCAATGACAGTAAAGATTGTTCTCTCCTTTTTTTATCTAATCAATTGAATGCGACCAGTAGTGGAATCCAGGATTCGCGTTTCGTCTCACATGGGGCTCGTCAGTTGGATGGACATACATCTCAAAGTTAATGTTCACTTCAGGGTCTAAATCTACTACCCTTTTGATCAGATGTGCAATACGTTACCCATTTAGCTATTGTATCTAGAATCTGTTCCACTTGTACAGAGAGTATTAATTTTAATTGAATTTGTAACAGTGTTGGCTTATCCCGATGTTGATATTTTTAACCGAATTCAAAACCATTTCAAAGTGAATTGTTCTCTCTCATGTTTCTACCAATTTCATTGGAATAATAATTCATCCATTTCACTTTTTTCAGCCTGTCATTTCGTTTCCTTTATTTGTAATCATATTAATATCGTTTTCATTACGCTAATGTAAAATGAAGCAACTATATAGACTAAAGCATATGTACATTAGATCCTACATTGTTTATATCTAGATATTTACTAAAGGTAAACTGAAACTTTATTGATTCATTGTAAGACGATTAAAAATATTTAACAGCATCTAATAGTATTTATAATGAACATACAATAATGGGATTGTTTCCCTGATAATTATTGATTAAAGTTAAAATATTACCAAATAGTGATCTAAAGAAAAGGGCTCTTTCATTTTCTGATCAAAGAAAAATAACTTATATGAATCAATGAAACATAAACTATAAACTGCAAAATATTGATGGTTTATAAATAAAGACTAATATCAATATTTTGACTAGGATCAGGAACACTTAAAACACGTGCGAGAAGCCTAGAGTTCTGATTAGTCCTGCTTTCCGCCTAGCCTAGCCAGTTAAGTACAGAACACCAATCTCAGCCTCTGCATTATGAATCCTTATATTTTAAGCATACTGAGTTTATATACAAATCAAACAGACCACAACGTAGCATAAAATAGAAAATAATATTTGTACAAAATTTGGCCAAATGTGACTGTGAATATGAGAGGCAGTGACTAATAGGCAGGACATAATTCAAGAATGGTAAAACGTATAATAATGGTTCATAGATTAAAATAAAGCTTATGATAAGAGAGACATGAATATGAATAGTTTAGTTAATTAACAATTATACGACAAAAATATACGCAAAGTATTGGTCCATAAATAGATCCCTAAAAATTACCATTCCTTATTCTTATCGGGACACAACAACTACCATATCGTGGAACACATGAAATATGGTCTTGTTGACTGTACAGAACAAATAGAATCATATCGATGACATTTTTCATATTGATTTGGACAGATTAGAAAAAGACAGAGTACGTGTGCACTATCGTCTGCAAATGGTCAATTTTTGTTCATCATCATTGACCTCCACGATATATGGTAAACTCATCAATGTTCAATGATTTGTCGTCTAACTTAAAAATCGTTCAGTTAGATGAATGTTTTGGAAAAGGCTCAGAGACATTTCCCTAGTTCTGCCTATTCACTATAAATGATAAATGGAACTTCTGAAATTTGATAGTCTGTCGATTAAGACAGTAATCGATCATATGAAAAACTAAATATTTATTAAATTCATTATGTATTTAAAGTAATTAGTCCCTTTGATAAATTTCTACCATTTGATCAATTACAGTTCTAAACATCAGTGGGATGATTCAAACAAACAATACATAATAAGAAGACGAAGATTATCAGAACTATGTGCACAATACATTGCGAATAATCTGATCACATATATTTGTTAGTACATTTTTATATAAAAAATAAATGATCAACCAGACTAGAAATGGAGGAGACAAGAATAATAATGCAATAATGTGAAAACAATTTGAAACCTAATCACTCTGGATAATAAGCTAATATTACCAGGGTAGGTTTAAGATGAGAACAAACTGTTTTTGAATACACAGAGGGTGTTTAAATTTTCGTATAGTCAATGCTTCAATAAAACTTAGTATACACCCTTTTGCACTTTTGTACAACACCACAAAAGCCCAGTTAAGATGAATCTTATGACCTGTTTCAATTGCGTTTAGCAATAGAGGATGACGGTTGTTTATCCTCTACTCTTATTGGGTCATTCTTAACAAGTATTATTCGAAATGTATTGCGCTAATATATCACATAGTCCTGATAATCTTCGTCTTCTCACTATGTATTGTTTGTTTGAATCTTCCCATTGATGTTCAGGACTGCAACTGATCAGTCTCTTATCAGCATATATGCATCGATTACGGATTGCACCTATATATTCTTGGGCCACAAGTATTATAAGGAAAGATGGATGGTGTCTAGTAGTGCAATCCAGGACATCTGTTTCGTCCTATTACTATAGTGAAGGAATTAAAGGCCAACTAATATAGTATTAAATCAAAATTAGATTTGACAATAATCGCTAATGAGAAAGAGTTTAAACAAAACGTTTCAAACATTTTTTTCAGTATAGGATTGTGGAGATTATTAAGCTTTTGATTGAGATCCTGAACCGATTGATGTTAGACCACCATTGAATCTCCATAAGTCTATACTGATAATTACCATGTGCTCACTAGTGACTAGTTTCGTGAGGGAAGTCTCGGAGTTCTAGTGAGAAGCAGTGACCAGTGGAGCAAATCGATGTCGGGTAGAGACAGGTATCTACGTCAGTACAATGGAAGATGGTCAAGCGATTTCGCGGATTGGTTGAAGATAGATATTAATACCGTTGGGTACCAACTCAGTGGTCTAGAGGTCAGGAGTTCGTGCGCGAGGTCCTGGGTTCGAATCCTGCGAGTGGGAATCATGGGTGTGCACTGCTGAGGAGTCCCACGATAGTACGAAATGGCCATCCAGTGCTTCCAGGTTTTCTATGGTAGTCTAACATCAATCGGTTCATGATCTCAATCAAATATTTTTATTGAAACGTTTTTGATAAATACGAGAATTTATGTTTTTTGACTAACATGACACAAACTATAGTATAAGAATAAGTTTGATGTTAAATTTCAAATGGAATGTATAAATAATTCACTGATATCTTGATAATTTCAAAAGAAGATGTTTGACATAATTCAAGTAGTTCCGTAGAAATACAAGGAATTGACTGATGTCATTAATATCAAGTATATCCAATAGTATTCTTTTTAATATAAGAACTGAACATTTTCTATGTAATTCATGATGGCATCAAGCTCACACAATGACAAGGAGTTCAGTAGTTGAATATAATGAACCCCAGTATGTTTTTTTCTTTTTTAGTTTATTCTCCGACTAAATTCGTTCCTAGAAATGCTCTTTTACGCGAATCGAAATAATGTACAACAATAAATAAACAGTTCATTATCTTATCAGTAAGGTTTCGGAAATATAAGTGATTTTTCGGAATTATAATACTAAATAACATTAAAGATATTCTTTCCGCCCCACTTTCAAATATCCCCTTGAAGTTGAATTACAATCTATAAATATTTTTTTAAGAGGTCTGAGTAGTTAACTACGGAATGTGATAAGTAGTTGAAACTCAGTCACACAAACACAACTTTTTGTATCAAGATTGAAGTAAATTCAACAATCCTAAGTGAATCCTTTCACACGTTAGCAGTTTCAGGAAACAGTGACTCATGTTGCAATCAGCTAGTGAAATGTATATTTCAGGAAATATTGAAATATTATCAGGGTTTACGGTTTCATAATTACTTTTTTTTCAAAGAAGCTCCAAGTATATAATGATTAAAGAAACATAACACTCAGAAATTACACGGAATCATTTATATACAATCTTGAGAATTTCCAAAGTATAATAGAGGAGCAATCTAGTTAACACTGATTTCAAACGTTAAGGTTTATATTAGCTGTAAAAACAGTGTAAACCAAAGAGCACCAAATGGATGCTTAATCCGTACTCCAGTACCTCTAGACATTGTGCATTCAAAACCTAACACGAAATAGAACCCAAGATATTTAAATTTGATGTCAAATATAACATCATTTAACATTTCAGTTGGAATTATATGAATCTTATTTGCAACACTAGTTGATTCCCCAAATTTACCCCTATTATAATTTAGTGACACTGAAGGCTAGGTTCATAGTGTCTTCAAACTAAATAAATCACCAGAAATCAGGTAAATTAATGGGAAAAAAATAACTGCAGAGATAACTGTATGTAATAAGAATAGGTGAACATCTGTACTTCATTCAACTATATTCTATATATAAATGTAAATTTAAAAAGTGACTTGATTGTATTGAATCAAGTTATAGGCAACTAAACTAAACTAATAATCTTATGCCAAATCTATTTTTATCATGTTCCTTTATAAGACTATAAAACAATGTCCATTAATTAGTTCTATAATAACATGTACTACACTATTCTTTCTTAAAGAAGGTATCTTACTTCTTCTTTTTCTTCTTCTTGTTTTTTGTCTTAACATTTAAATAGTATTAATTCAATATTAACAAAACATGGTATCCTAAATCTCGGGTAATATGATCAATTGAATTATTGATCAATATTCGGATTGGGCAATATACATCATAAATGTGTTTATTGTGTTATTTTATTTGCACCAATAGTATTGTCTCTATGAAAGAATTTTTCTTTTTTATGTTTTCTTTTCTCTTTTTTTTTAAAAAGAAATATAATAATTAATAGTTATATTCATTGTATTATATTACCAATTACTATTGACTATTAATACATTTAAACAATATTAATAGTTTATGTTAAACTTAATTATTCATTCTGTACAAAACAAACAAACAGTAGTAATACACTCTTGAAATAATTCAATATTCAATTGAAACGAAACATTGATCAGTTAAATAAATAAACTTCCATTATTATCATTATGACACAGTGACAATGATCCTTTTCTAATTATTCATTATTGAATACAATGATCTCGAAACAAAAATATAAAAGTATGAATCAATTAAATATCTTTTCATTGATCTTATTATTAGTATTATTATTATTGATTAATAATATTCAACAAATAAATTCACAAAATATTATTAATGAAAATAATAATAAAATTAATGGAAACAATCAAAATACAAATAAAATAATTGAATATAAAAAGAATGAAGAGAAATATAAAGGTATGTTAATAAGTGCAATACAGTATAGATTCATTTTAATAGTATGAATTTATATTGATTTATTGATTTATTTATTTGGACACATAAACATTAGTATAAGGGGGGGGAAGGCACCAAATACATATACACAACACTAGTAGTTAGTATTGATTTATGTGACAGCTGTGATAATGCGCGGGTTTCTAAATCAAAACAGGTTAATAAGTTACGTACTTACTAACTTATTTACTCTTGTTACCTATCGTGGAGGACCATAGGCAGTAAGCCAGGATTCGCCATCTAACTCTGTCCCGGACAAGTTATTTATTATTATTATGATTATTATTATTACTATTAGCTTTATCACTATTATATTTTGGGTACAATATAGAATTTTCAGCATAAAGTATTTTAATAAGTTTCTGTTTCTTACTTCTTGGTCGATACTGACGAATAAATATTGAGTGATCGCCAATTAAATGTTAACAGTTCAGTAAATCGACATCGAAAATAATGTACACCCTTTTCACTGAATATTACCACTAACCACGATGTCTCCGATTAAGCATTTTTTGTGATTTATACAACGGAAGGTTGTAAACTTTTCATAAACGTACCTTAATAGATTGTGCGATTAATATATATATACATATATATAATGTAATAAAACAAGAAAAAACAGATAACTTGTTGAAATATCTAGAGGGCAGAAACATGTAGCCCAGATGTTGAAGTAGGCCGCCAATTTGGTATTGTTTCTAGTTCCTATTCATTATTTTGATGTCTGCTACAAATTCTCGGCTCAGTATTTTCTAAACAGGTTAATTAATAAGCAGAAAATAAGTTTTTTAAGGAAGTTGAGTAGAGGCTAGTGAGAAAATTCACAAATTATGTTTCGTTCTATTTGAGACTGGTCAGACAGATAATACCTACATACCACTGTTTATCTTCACTCTGTGGCTCTAGCAAAACACCATTAGCTTTAATTGTTTAATGCATTATCCACTTAGCCAATGAATTCAAATTGCTATTGGCTTGTGCGATGAAGATCAATTGTAATCCATTTTCCGCTGTTGGTGTTAAGTATTGTCATTGAACAATCTCTTTTAGCATATATCTATTCAGAGTGGATTGCTTCGATATTTTTATCTTATCGCGAGTATTTTTTTAGGCATAGGCAAGTGATGGCTAGTAGTTGAATCCAAGACTCTTAAAAATAAATTATTATTCATCTGTGTTGTACAAACCAGTGGCTTTCTAAATTCATTAGCCAGGTAGATAGTGTGATGAACACTATGTTCAAGTTATTGAGTGTTACATCAATATTGAGGTCCCGGTACATTCATCTAGCGTGTCTCAAACAAGACAATAAGCATATTCTGGATCCCGCTGATAGCCACTATCAAATTCGAATTAAAAAGTTGAGATTTTCATTTTATCAGTATAGGGTTGTGGAGATTATTAAGTTTTGATTAAGATCATGAATTCATTGTTATCAGACCACCGTTGGAAACCTGAGAGCACTGGACAGCTCTTTCGTACTATTGTGGGACTTCTCAGCAGTGCGCATCTACGATCCCACTCTCAGGATTTGAATCCAGGGCCTTCAGTCTCATTTGAAAAAATTCTACTCATGTGCAATGTGAATGAGATAGTTTAACAAACAGAAAATTGTTTTAGTAAACAATTATGAATCGTTTGTTCTGATAAATTATCTCTCGTTAATTTTAGAGTTAATTTTATCGCAATGCATTTCTTTAAAATCATGTAATCTATCAACTGTATTATTAACCATTTATTATTACACTGTTATATTCAGTCCTCAATTGTATATGGTCTCATCAGTAGAGTTAATTCGGAATTTTTCTAAAGAGAAATTTAAAACTCACTTGGCATTGTTTACTTGAATCTTCCCATTAATGAGTCCCAAATAATACGAAACGCGCGTCCTGGATTCCTTTGCTAGACGCATCCATCTCTGCTTATAATGCTTGTGACTTAAGGCAATATAGAGGCAATCCGCATAGGATGCATATATGCTGATAAAAAACTGGTCAGTTGCACTCCTTAACATCAATGGAAAGATTCAAGTACACAATATCATATAAATTCAAACTCCACCCCACTACACAGGGTAATGGCCATCACGACTCGGAAGCTAAGTGGATAACGTGATGGCGTTCGAAGCGAACGGTACTGAGTTCGAGTCCCAGAGTAAACATGAACTCTGGGATGCTGCTGTATCCAGATGACGAATCGCAAATAGGATGAAAACTGGGTTCTGCATACCACTACTAGTCATCATCCATCATTGCATAGAAATCTTAACATTCAGAAAAATGATATGGTGTTAATTTCCTAAAAAAAGTAACATCAATTTTTTGTACACAACTTTTACTTCATCTACTTTTGTGGAAACGTATTTAAATCCATAAATCCTTAATTAAGTACAGAAGTTAGACATTAACACCGTTGGATGCCGGCTCAGTGGTCTAGTGGTTAAGTGCTCGGGCGCGAGTCCAGTTCGTCCTGGGTTCGAATCCCGCAGGGGGCGAGGTCGTGGATGCGCACTGCTGAGGAGTCCCACAGTAGGACGAAACGGCAGTCCAGTGCTTCCAGGTTTTCCATGGTGGTCTAGCTTCAACTGACTCATGATCTTAACCATTGAAATAAGTACAGAATACATAACAAAACCACCGATATTAATATATGTAAGTTATACGAAGGAAGGTTTACAATGCAAGATGGAGAATAAACGTTATTCACTATTTCTTCAGTTTATAATTTACTAATCTGTTTGCATGTTCTGTAAATACATTTTAACTTAGAAAGGATTGGTTTCCTAATAATTTAGAATATAACCACTTAGTGATTAATTCAACATTATGTTGTACTACTCCCGATGTTAATCGATCTACATGGGGTAGATATAACTGGATAAGGAATATTCAACTATTGATAAACTTTCATTTAATAAACTTAAAACAATTGATTAAACTGAACATACTAGTCTTCACTAGCTCATTACTTCATAACAAGCCAATAATAAGTGACTATTGTATTTAAGTAAAGTTAGCGAATCTCTGTGTTACAATCTCATGTGTTATGCATAACATTGCTTTTATATTTAAGGAAACCTAGAGGAATATAGTTTCCTGAATGCTTAAATCGGAATTTTGAGAATATTTAGGGCTATTTACAGGTTCACAAAGATATCGCATATCTTCACTTGAATTTAATTTAATTATATACAGTTTTATTTATTCATAGCTTGTTGATCTCACAAAATCTCAGCATGATTAATAAAAGCTTAGGTAATATTCTCATTAGAACATGGCATCATACTAGAATTAAAGTAAACAGAAAGGCAATTTTCTGTGATTTTCTAGATTGTCATGAAGTATATTGTTTTTATGTGGATAGTATGAGATTCCATGAGTTGATGAACAATAAGTAGGTGCTATTCGAAAAGTATTTCTATCATTATATGTAAGATAGACATTATTTGACAGTCTTAATGTGACACTACAGGGAATAACTTTGACCATTGTTGAGCACATATCTTGACATTAAAGTACAACTGTTGTTCCTCTTTATATAATCTACAATAAAAACATTATGACGGACAGGATTATTTTCAAGGATAAAATTAAGGGCCAGTAATAATGGATATCAGCTCACTGGCTTAGTGTTTGAAAGTGCATGTGCATGACCAAAGGTCCCGTGTTGGATTTCCAGTCACGAGAACTTATGTGCGCACTGCTGAAAAGTTCCATAACAGGACGAAACGAGAATTCAGCGCTTCCACGTTCTCTGTTGTTGTCTGACTGATATCGGTTCATGCTCTTAATAAAAAAAATGTAAACTTCATTTCTCATGGATCGAATGTTAATAAACCAAGTGAAAACAGTATTTAAAGGTTAGTTGAACTCAGGTAACAGATTTTTTTCACAATGAAAAGTGAGCTTAGTGGTTATCTTTAGTTTTTTGTCATAACATTAACATTGAGATGTAGGTGCATGTGACTAATTCGATTTAACTAGAATGAAACGCGTAAAGTGTATTCTACTGATAGATAGTTTCCAATACTTCTCCTACTTATATCATTTCATGATAGAAACTATGTGAAATCAAAGAAAATGAACTATATAATCGGATAGGCACAAATATTGGGTTTTTTAAAAAATTTCTCAAATTGTGCAAGAGGGAATTGTGACGCATAGATGGATACAATATATTTGTTAAAGGTCACACCCGGTCACAAATTGACTGAAGTTAAAATTGGAGACTAATGGATAGGAGCTCACTAGTCTGATGATCATGAACTTACCGAAGGATTGAAAGTTCTGTGTTTGATCTCGCACAAAATAGCTATGCACAGTTTTTCTTGTTTTCAGTGACTAATCAGTTGAGTCGTCCCTTGACAGAAACTAAACGAATCAATTCACAAAACAAATTTATCGATGTAACTTATCTTTCAGTTGAAAGACAATTTGAAACCTAGGAAAACTGTTATTGTTTTCAGATTCGGGTCATTGTATATTCAACAGCTTACACTATGATGAACCATTAAGTTTCCGAATTAATAAAGCACAATAATTACTAACACTGATTGATCAGTAAATGCCAGACAATTTCATGTTTGTCTTATACTTAGAGGTGATTGATTTAAAAAGAGGTCACTTTCCAAAATAACTCATTATCAAGTATACTGCTTTCATGTTAAATATCTATAGACAAGTAAATGATCTTGACTCGAATCCCGTGGAAATCCTCAATTTCATCTCGACTGTAACCACACCTTGTTGACCAGATCAAACAAGAATAAAATCTAGGATCAAAGATTACAGTCTATTGCTTTTAACCCCCCCCCCCAACTTGGATTACTTATTTAATTGACATGAATAACAGTTACAGTAATATAATTGATTTCAGTGTCAATTTTTTTTTCTCAACCGGAATTTATCCAATGAACACCATTTAAATTAACATTTCAACTAGAAACTAAAGTATCCTAACAA